TTTGAATATTATTTATTTACTGTAAAATATTTATTTACTATTTTAAATATTTTAAAATATTTATTTACTAAGGTAATATTTCGTTAATATTGAAACAAATATTTATTAAAATTCAGCAAATTTTTTTTCAATGCATGCATTAATATTTCTAGAAACACTGATATATATGTATCAAATATAGATTAACGTGATGTAAATATATCTCGTATATACTTAAACATCTTATTTCTATTGTAAAATATACGTAACGTGAACATAATTTTTATGACAAATATGATATTATGATAGAGATAGTACCGAGCTTACGAAACAGGAAAAAACAAAGTTACACGTAATAACTTTCTTGATTACTAGTAAGAGAAGGTTGATGGATAAATATACATTTCATGGAAGGCAATCTCGCCCCTTGATGTGAATGATTCCATTTACAAGCCTTTCTGTTTTTCTTTCTTCTCATGCGACATTAAATCTTTAAAATGCGCAAGCATATGCGCAAGCGACGAGTTCGCGATCAGTCTTGTTCTTCAACAACCGGTAGCAATCCAGTTCGTACTTTGGTTTCGCATTAAGTGCACGTTACGTGGACGATAAAACTCAACAGTACCGAAGATCCATTAGAGTTCATAGAGAAATGTCGCAAAATAAGCATCATCAAAGCGATATTTTGTACATTACGCAACCAACTCGTAACATTCTGCTCGCACTTGGCGCTTGGCCCTCCATCAATAAAGGAGAATCCGTACACTCGAAGGTTCACAATCTCTTGCTAATCTTTATGTCCTACACTCTCCTCTTTTGCGACCTTATACCCGGTATCCTTTATTGGTTGATGAAGGCAACAACGCGCGTTCGACTGCAAATGATCCCTCTTCTTCTTTACGATTTTATGTCCGTTACTCAATACGGCATCTTCATATCTCGCTATGATCAACTCAAGCGATGCTTGAAGCACGTCGAGGAGGATTGGGAGAATATTCTCAGCGTGGACGCACGAAACATTATGTTGAAATCTGCGAGGACTGGGAAACGTCTAGTTACGATCTGCGCATTTTTCATGTACAGCGGCGTCATTACCTTCCGAGGAATTTTACCGTTGTTCCAGGGAAAGATCGTCATTGATCAAAATGTCACAATAAGACGCTTTGCCTGTCCGGGTTATTACTTTTCCTTTGACGTACAAGTCAGCCCCGTTTATGAAACGGTCTTTATAATCCAATTTCTAACAGGATTTATTACAGTTTCGATCGTGACATGTGCATGTGGCCTTACAGCAATTTTTGTAGTACATGCTTGCGGTCAATTAAAAATTTTAATCAGTTTGATGACAGGACTTGTACAGAAAGAATGGCAAGAAGAATGTGAAATGGATATGAAGCTAGCTGAGATAGTCGAACATCAAACAAGAGTGCGCAAGTAAGGCAGCAACTTTGCTAACATTGTTCATAGTTTAGCATTTACGGTAAGTCGGGGGAACATGCCATGCCAGGCAAGATGCTATTTAATAATAATTTCCATGTTTATGCATAGATGGTATTAATAGTATTCTCAGTTTATTCATTTGTAAGGGATGATACGACTAGAACTCGCTGTTCATATTTATTTTTAAAAATTATGAATTTATCAAGATAAGTTGATAAAGTTCTGTTCTAATCATATTTTACAATATTTAAAATTTATATTAATCTTTTGTAGACTTTATTTCACAAATACGCAGAATTACATTATTTAGCATCAAAAGTAAATTTTATTATATATTAAGTGATTATCTTATCAATAGCACGTGATTGATATAGTCTGATACTATATTTTCTAGTCATATTGGGTAAGATGGGGGCAAGTTGTTTTAAAAACAAAAACTAACGAAGAATAACTTTATCTTCAAATTTTTCAAGAAGCAAATATTTATTACATTTCGACTGACACAGAAAATGACGATTATTATGCAATTGGTAAATTTTATGATGCTAAAAAAGGTCTAAATATGAGTAAATAAAGACTGATTGTTACAAAAAATGCAACAGATGACTCAAAGAAGATCTAAGGGGATGAAGACTGTGCTTACAATTTGTAAAAAATAATATTATTTTCTATTATTTTAGTTAAAATGTTGCATATTTTTATCTTTTATTTACTATTTACAGACTGTTTTAAGAAATAATTTTTTATTATTGCTATTAAAAAACTAACATATAATAGTATATATATTTTATTTCTCATTTACTTCGAGATCGTTTTCAAGAAAAATTATTTTCTATTATTAGAAATTATTCTTTATTGTTGAGAATAATTATTAATAGAATTTTTAATATTTATATATTATTTAATGAAAACGTTAGGGAATCTTATAAGATCTTGTAATATCTTATCCAATAGGTTGAGTAAGATGCTACTTAGGAAGGTTTTTATTTTTTTATTGTGAAAAATTCTTACAAGATATTTACATTTCTGTAATTAAACAGCAATAAATAAGACTAATCAAACTTTTTATTGATTTCATTTCCCTTTATATATCGAGAATTAAAAAAATATCGATTCAAAGTTGATTATGGCATCTTCCTCCGACTTATCTTATATTAATAAACATATGCTTATTATATGTTAATAATAATATTTTATCTTATATTTTATATTTATTGACAATATTATACTTGGTAAAAATTTTTTTCTTTCTATTCTCTCACATTTTATTGATATTTATTTATTTTTCTATTAGTTTAAGAAGCGTTGATAGTTATCATCGATAATTATATTTCAGTTTTTTACGATTAGTACAACATACCTTACAGGAAATATATATGCTGGAAATTGTAATAAATACAACAACAATCTGTTTGTTAGTGTATTTTATGTTAATGGTTCGTAAGTTTGTCAATTAATTTTAATAACGGAACAAATTAATAATTTTGCATATTAAAATGAAAAATTGAAAAAATAAAAATTTGATAATTACATATTCACAATTTTTTTACTAGATTTCAAATTCTCATAATAATATGTATTTTATTGACAAAATATATTTCAGATTTTATAGTTAATCAGTAATATTCAATATATCAAATTCAATAATAATATGATTATCATATAAAACATTTATATTTATAGGACTGGCAAACTAGGAATATAGGAACTTTATGTTCTTATTTGATAAGTATTATAAATGTGATAATTCACATGTTTCTATTTTGTTATACTGGTGAACAGCTTACCGGCCAAGTGAGTCTCAGAAATATTAATGTGTCCATTTTTTAAAACATAAGTAATAATAATGAAAATAGCAATAATATGTTCCATAATAATTTATTTTTATATTATTGCAATTAAAACTGCAAATTCAAATCCTGAAAGAGTTACTATTGCATGCTAAAATAAGTTTTATAAATATCTTCATGATTATATCGTGAAAAAGAAATACAGGGAACGTGTTACAATATCTTTGAAATAGCAAATGAAATTATGATACAAACACATTTTATGGCCATTGCTACGTGATGATAAATTCAACGATAGGCGGAAAAGGTAGCTATTACATCTTGCATGCTCGAGTGGTATCGTCTTCCGGACAGAAAAGCGCGTAGTGTTGTATTGCTGATTATTATGTCTAACATGCCGACAAAGATCTCTGCTGGACAGTTCATCGATCTCTCACTCAAAACATTTGGTAATGTAAGTAAAAATTAACTTTAAATTAATTATATTATTTCCAAAAAAAGACTAAATATATTAAAATTTTATATAAAATATACTTAATAAAAAATATATTATTATTTGTCATTTTATATTAATTATAATAGCATTAAACGATATAAACATTAACATTTTAAATCCATAAATAGTAGTTAGATAGTTTAGATGGAATTTTTTTTGATAAAATAAATATGTTGTTTGTACAAGTCAACTTATTAAATATATGTTTGATATTTGCGATTACGGTAAATATGATTAATTGAAAATAAATTGCAGGAAAACATAATTGTAAATGTTTTAGGTCATGAAAACAGCCGGAACATATTTTAATATGCTCCGAAGTGTAATCGATTGAATCATTAAATTCTATTAGTTGAAATTATAATTAATTGTTCGTTCCATCATATCGTATAAATCTATTGGATGAATAAAATGAAAAATATATTACAATCTAAATGTAATATAAAATATTATTTAAATATATATATTTGATTATATTTCAATGAACAATTCATATAATTTTATATATTTACTATTGTGTTTATTACATACATTTATTTATATTGAGAATTTTATTTACTTTTCTCGTAAACTTTATTGCTGTAGTATCTCTGTTAATTATTATCAATTATTAAAATCCTTTTCTGCCGCTTATTATGCTATATCTATTTCATAACCCTATTTTATTTAATTTGTTGCTATTTAATATATGTATTTTAAATGTTTTCAGTATTCTGTATTATAAGTCTATTCTATATTATAATCTACAATTATGACAATGGTTGATAATAATTATTATCAATTATTGTTAACGTAGATTAATGTGATGTAAATATGTCACATATATTTTACGATTTTATTATCCTATAGAATGTAGAATGTAGACATGAGTAATATAGAAATCATTTTTGCCAAATATGATATATGAGACTAAATGATGATTGTGACTAAAATAATACTAAGTCTATGAAACGGGAAGAAGAATAATACCTGATAACTTTCTTAGTTGCTATAGTAAAAGGTTAACGGTTAAATATATTTTATGGCAAGTAATCTCGAGCAAACGACTTCATTTACAAACTTTTTTGTTTTTATTCTTTCTTCTCATGCGACATTTAAATCTTTAAAATGCGCAAGCATATGCGCGAGCGACGAGTTGACTTCGCGATCAGCGTCGTCCTTCGGTGGCGTTCAGTTAGAGCGCAGACATTATATTAAGTGCATGTTACGTGGTCGGATAAAGCTCGAAAATATAACCGTAGAATATTCGTCGAAATCCAAAGAAATGCCGCAAAATGAACATTATCAAAATGATATTTTGTATGTCATGCAACCAATTCGCAACTTGTTGCTCGCGCTCGGTGCTTGGCCCTCCATCAAAAAAGAAAGATCTGTATACCAGAAGGCTTACAATCTTTTGCTAATTTGTATATCTTATACTCTTCTCTTTTGCGACTTTGTGCCCAGTATCCTTTACTGGTTTATAGAGGCAACGTCGCGCATTCGACTGCAAATGATACCTTTTCTCCTCTATGATTTTATGTCCGTTGGTCAATATGGCATCTTCATATTTCGCTATAATCAACTCAAGCGGTGTTTGATGCACGTTGAGGAAGATTGGGAGAACGTTCTCAATGTGGACGCACGAAACATTATGCTAAAATCCGCGAGAATAGGGAAGCGCCTGATTACGATTTGTGGAATTTTTATGTACAGTGCTGTCATTACCTTCCGAACAATCCTACCGTTGTTCCAGGGAAAGATTATCACCGATCAGAATATCACGATAAGACACTTCTCCTGTCCGGGTTACTTCTTTTCTCTCAATGTGCAAGTCACTCCTGTTTACGAGACGATCTTTATTATCCAGTTTGTAATAGGATTCATTCCAGTTTCGATTGTGACAAGTGCATGCGGTCTCACGGCAATTTTTGTGGAACATGCTTGCGGCCAATTGAAAATCTTGATCAGTTTGATGACAACACTGGTACAGAAACAATGGCAAAAGGAACATGAAGTGAATACGAAGCTAGCTGAAATAGTGAATCATCAAATGAGAGTCCGAAAGTAAGCCCACAACTAACATATTGTTTACTAACATATTGTTTACGCTCATAGTATAGCATAGATTTATACGTTTTATTAACGTGTGCTTATTATAATAATATTTATTAACAATGTTGCGGTAAATATTATTAGCTTTCTATTCTTTCACATTTGATTGATATTTATTTTTTCTATTAAATCTAATTAATTGTTATTATCGATAATTGCATTTCAGTTTTTTACGATTGGTACAACATACCTTGCAAGAAGTATATATATTGGAAATTGCAGTGAACACGGCGTCACTCTGTATTTTAGTATATTTTATGTTAGTGGTTCGTAAGTCAACTTTAATAACGGAAATCAAATATTAATCAAATAATAAATCAAATATTTTAGCATATTGTAAAATGAAAAATGGGAAAAAACGAAAATTTGATACTTATTCAGTTTAGAATTTTCTTATTTAAATTTAAACTTAAATTCTTATAAAATATGTATTTTATGAAAAACAAATAATCATTTCAATCAGATTTTACAGTTGATCAGTATAATTTAACAATAATATTAATGAAGCATTTATATTTGTAGGACTGGGAAAATAGGAATATAGCAACTGTATGCACTTATTGCATAAGCATTACAAATGTGACAATTCACACATTTCTATTTTGTTACACCGGTGAACAGCTTACTAGTCAGGTGAGTTTCACGGAAATTCATATACTCAGGACAGATTTTAGGACAGGTTTTAGGACATAAATAGTAATAATGAAAATAACATTTTATAATTAAAATAATTTATAATTAAAATAATTTATTTTCAAATTATTTGCAATTAAAATTGTATGCAATTTTACATAAATCTTATGACAGTTATTACGTGTAAAATAAGTTATACATATAAATAAAATCTTTATAAATATATCGTAAAAGAAATATATTGCAGTGTTGTAATATTTATGAAATAGCAAATAAAAATTTGATAAAAACAAATTTTTTTACGTAATAATCCGACGATAGGCAGAAAAGGTAGCCATTGCGTCTTGCGAGCTTGAGTGGTTTCGTCTTCCGGACAAAAAAGCGCGTAGCATCATATTACTGATTCGTATGTCTAACGCACCGTCAAAGATCTCCGCTGGAATATTTATTGATCTCTCGCTCAAGACATTTGGTAATGTAAGTAAAATGTCTTTGAATTAATTTTATTATTCCTACAAAACTAAATATATTTATATTCATAATGCAAACTTCATAAAACATATAAGCCATTTGTCTTTTCGCCTTATATAAATTAAACGGTATCAATGTGTTACTCATTAATAGGAATAGATAATTAAGGTAAAATCATTTTTCATAAAATAAATATCATGTTATTTATACGTCAATTTTATTTAATATATTCTTGTTATTTGTAATATTAAATATGATTAATTGAAAATAAATTAGAGGAGAAAGCAACTGAAAATGTTTTTAGATCATGAAAACAGCTGGGACATATTTTAATATGATTCGAAATGTAATCGATTGAATTATTAAATTTTAAAATTATAATTACGTTAACTGTGCTCGATATATCCATCATATAGTATGAATCAATCAATTGTATATACAAAATCATTTTACAAAATTGTACATACAAAATCAATGAATATAAAATCATATTGCAACATAATACAAAATGTTATTTCAATGTATGTATTTATGTTAACGCGTATTTGAAATGTATTTATATTGTATATATTACAGAATTACTTCAGAAATAAAAGCATTTATTGATAAAAGTGTTCTAAATACGGACCTTAATGTTTTAATTATTGTTTTAATTTATGAATTACGAATGATAATCAAAGACAATTAAATCGCGAAGCAAATTTCATGTTATATTTCATTAAAAAATTAACAAATATTATGTAAGGCATTCATTAACACGTATTAATAAGTATTTTTATTTGTATTAAGAAAATTACATACCTGTTACTTTTTCCATAAGATTAAAGAATTGACAGTAGTTGATAGTAATTGATATTAGTTGTCAATCATAAAAATCGGAGTATTCAAAATATATATATATATATATACGAAAACTAAAATTATTTCCTGCTTATCAGCATTACGTTGCTATCGCAAGTTGCAAAGACGAAGATAAACATAACTTTTCCTAGTTAATACAAAATCTGATAAATGAGTAAGGATACTTTTCTTAGAAAATGCTTGTCCCTCTCAACAAGTAACTTTCCACATAAATTCTATTGTTATAGTCCCTGCTTTCCACATATTGTTTAAATTCTTAACGCAAATACATGCAAGATCTGATTGTAAGTTTGCTTCGCGATTTAATTGTCTTTGATTATCATTCGTAATTCATAAATTAAAACAATAATTAAAACATTAAGGTCCGTATTCAGAACACTTTTGTCAATAAATGCTTTCTGAAGTAATTCTGTAATATATACAATATAAATACATTTCAAATACGCATTAACATTCTTATAAGCACATTACGAATATGCTTAAAGAATAAACATCTTAAATTACAAAAATAGTTGCATGTTTTAATATGCACTAAAGTATGTAATCTAGTACGTATTTTAATTAAATATTTCGATTTTAATTTTAATGCTATGTATATGTATATGTGTATTTTGAGAAATAGTGACATATCAAATATAAATTAATGTAATAAATTAAAAATTATCCCTTTGGATCAACAACAATTTCTTTGAAAATAGGATATTGTATAGTATCTTATTGTACAATATCTTATTTTTAAAGAAATTTTCAGTGATCCAAAAAAATAATTTTTTTAATACGAGCAAAGAAATATTTTTTTGAAATTAAGATTTTTTTTTTTCATTGTATATATTTTACTATCTGATTATTATCCTGCATATATTTCTGCAAATACGAGACAAAATCAAGTTTACGAAAGAGAAAGAAACGGAGTTATACATACATAATAACTTTTCTGATTATTTTAGCTAGGGAAAGTTGATGATAAAAAGTACAATTTATAGGAAGCGATTCGACCCTTAGTGACTTCTAAACTTTATTCATCTCGTGCTTATTCGAGAATTCCGAGCGTATGTCATTATCTATTTGTGAGCAACGCAGTTCAGAACGCAAGCGCGTACCAAGTTATCCTCTGACTAGAAGGTTGCTCGCTGTGATCATTGATGAAAGAAGACCCTTCTAGTCGTTTCCGCGCGTTATACCTTGTTTTGTATGACACAAAGTCATAACGTCACAAAATAGCTCTTATAAAAAAAAACAATATAATCACATTAGAAATGTATCCAAATGAAAATTATGTGAACGACATAAAATATACTATACAACTAAATCGCGTTATTTGCCGTCTATTAGGTATCTGGCCAGAGACAAAATCTTCGTTTCTTGAACATTTAAAAAAGATCTCGCTGATATTAGGCTGCTACTTTCTTCTCGGTTGTGAACTAATCCCGACAATCTTGTACATAGTATTTGTAGAAAAACGAACTCGCATCAGATTGAAACTTATTTCATCTGTAATGTTCACGATACTGGCCGTCCTCAAGTACAGCAGTTTAGTGCTTAGTAAGAATCAAGTAAGAAATTGTCTAGCGCGAATGAAGGACGATTGGCGAAATGTCACAAGTACCAGTGCTCGTACTTCCATGATTCATAAAGCAATGACTGCAAGACGTTTGCTCATTCTGTGCGGCATATTCATGTATATATCCGGCTTATATTTTCGTACAATCGTGCCGTTAAGCAAGGGAAAAACTATCATCAATCAGAACATCACAATCAGGCATTTGCCATGCCCAAGTTATTTTGTTCTATTTAACGGGCAAATCAGTCCAGCGTACGAAATTATGTTCTTTATACAGTTCTTCTCCGGATTCATCAAGTATACCATCACGGTGGTGATTTGCAGCCTCGCCGCTCTTTTCATTATGCATACATGTGGACAGCTTGAGATACTGATGACGTTAATAAATAGCCTGATAAACGAAACAGAAGAAAAGAATTTGGATAAAAAGCTGGCCTTCACCGTGGAACATCAGATAAAGATGCGAAAGTAAGTCTTATTTATCTCAATTACATTTTTATATTTATATCTACTTTACATTCTTTTTATTTGTATCAAGATGATCATATATTAAATAAAACACATCCGTTAAATAGAACAAAATAATTGAATTTCACATAAAGTTAATACATCACATTAATGTTGTGTCCTTTTTGTTTTGTTTCTAAGTTCTTTTTTTTAATATAGCAGGTTAAAAGATTTTTCTAATAAAAATTTGTACGCGTCCCTTTGTAGTTTCTTACGATTGGTACAAAGCACTTTGCAATATACGAGCTTGTTAGAAGTGATGGGATGTACGATAATTGTATGTCTTCTAGGACACGATGTCATCACGGTGCGCCTAATTAATTATGCAGTGATAACAGTTCGCACAATTTTAAACATAGACGCTATTTTATTACAATTGAAACATGTTATTCCGTGCGTGCGCGCGCGCGTTTGTATGTGTGTGTGTGTGTGTGTGCGCGCGCGCGCGCGTGTGTGTGTGTGTGTGTGTGTGTGTGCCTGTGTGTGTATGCGAGATAAATAAATATAATTATTGATCTTGCAGGAATGGGAAGATCAAAATGTTATATCTATGTGCTCCTATCTCATTTTGCTCACATCAATTGGATTCAATATTTATATCTTTTGTTTTATCGGTGAACAACTTTCCATAGAGGTATCGTATTATATAAATCCATATAACGCATTTAAATAGTAAGGCTGAAAATAAATCGGATATTTTTCTTTTCTTTTTATACCGTCGGATATTTTTCATTTCTATATTTTTCATTTTATACCATGTAATTTGTTTTACTAAAATTAGGGAGAGAAATTAGCATTAACAGTATGTACATTGGCTTGGTACCGTCTTCCGAATGCGAAAGCACGAGCACTGATATTAGTTATAGCTACGTCGATTGTTCCAGCAAAACTAAAAGCCGGAAAGTTCTTCGATCTGTCCATCAGAACTTTCGGTGATGTAAGTAACGGATTTACTTGTAAAAAATAATGAATGAAAATGTGTATTATATTACAGGTTGTTAAAACGGCTGTGACATATCTTAATTTTATTCGAAAAATGATGGAATAATAACAATATAAAAATGTTTGATTGTATTTTTATGTGAACGTAGAGACATATTAACGTCATTTAGTAGAAACATTAATTAAGTAGAAATAATAATATAAAGATAAAAGTGTACCATTAAAAAATGCAAATTTTCTCTTCAAACATTTACTTGAAAAAATAAGATATTTTGCGAAATATAAATCTTGATTTAAATATACTTCGCTCATACAATATTATATCACTATGTACAGATTTGATCATTTTTACTTCCTGCTTGAGTTAGAAGTCATCTAAATAAATGTAAAAAATTATTACTAGATTTTTACTTAATTATCTTATTGTTAATCTAAAAAAGAAGAACAAGTAATGCAATAGTGAGATAAACAATATATCAGACAATTCTTTCAATTTCTATTTGATTTTTATAACCTATTAATAAACTATTTGACGTATATAATTTACTAAAGAAGAGAAATTTGCATTAATGACTTTTTACATTATACCTCTTATAATCATTTATAATTGTTGCCCGAACCCTTACATTTTTTGTTTTTATATTCCATGACAAAATATTTTACTAAACACGAAATGATGACTGAACTGTTAAAAGATCAATAGAATATCTGTAATTTTCCTTTATATGCTCTCATTATTTTTTTCTCGATATTTTCTCGTATGCCTTCTAAAGTCGCTAGACTTCCCTTCAAGTAAATGCTTCCTCGAACATCCCCAACAATAACTTTTGCAATTTTTCCGTGATTTACAAGAGGAAAAAAAGTTGTGGTAACAATCGCTGCACCTGTCAGTCCCTCACTTCTTCCGCTCTCATCGAAGACGCAAGCGCATCGCCATCTGCATTTTTCACTTCATGACAGTACATCCGATCAGTTTTCCGTCGACAACGTCAAGATCAAGTAAATTCTCAAGTTATGAACGTCAATATCCTTCATCATGATGATGTCAGACGCACTGTGAGTGTTACGCGTAGTATCCTAAACCTGATCAGCGCATGGCCGTTGCCTGACAATTCGTCTCATTCTACTCTCAGAATTATTCAGACAAAGATGATCAGGATTCTATCTCAGGCCCTACTCTACTTCATTATTGTGCCGGATGTACTTATGATGTTCTTCAAGGAATCAAATGCGCATCGCCGCATAAAAATGATTAGTCCAATATGCAGCTGCTCGATGGCGGTGCTAAAACATATATTGTTGATTTATCGAAGTAATCGACTCAAAGATTGCATCGAGCACATCGAAAAAGATTGGAGCAAAGCGAGTCTGATAGGAGATCGCAAAATCATGATAAACAATTCGAAAATCGGACGCAGCCTTGCGATCATCTGCATAACCATCGTATATGGTAGCGGATTTTCGTTTCGCACAATCGTGCCATTATTTCGCGGAGTCATCGTCACGCCGACGAAAAACGTGACAATCAGACCGATGGGATTCGATGGTTATTATGTATTCGTCGATCCACAGAAGATGCCAGCTTATGAGATTATCTTTTCACTCCAGTTTCTCTTCGGATTTGTGCACGACTTGGCAACCAGCGGAGCCTATAGTTTGGCAATTCTTCTGGTGTTGCATGCCTGTGGTCAATTAAAAATTCTCATCACTAGAATGAAGGATCTCACGCAGGCTAAGTACTTCTCTGATAAATATGCCAACGAGAAACTGGCAGTTGTCGTGAAACAGCATATCAGAATAAAGAGGTAATGTTATTATATCAATGTGTTATGTGCGAGAAAATTCCATAATTACTATTTTATATAAATATAAAAATATGAATATAAATATAAAAAACATTACTAAGAATAAGATATTATTATTAATA